TTATTTTTTTATAATTTTATATCTGTATATAGTTGGCTACGGCCAGAAAAATTTTGCATGTGTAGTTTGTCACCTGTTTGATTTGATAAACTTTTTAAGCGAAGAAAAATCATGAAGACTTTAATAATATCAACAATCTCCTCTTAATAATATATGCACGACAAGCCAAAAAAGTCTCTTAAACTCATGCAACTGATTGATCATATTCTAGTCAGCAATAATATTCACACATTTTTTTAGCAAGTTTACCATTATAATTTTTTAAAAAATAGATTTTATAATTAGCACATTCATAACTTATCGGCCATTGCTATAGTGATCCACATATTTTGAAAGGGATTAAGGGTAAATGAGTAAATTACTTATCCGGAACTTTATGATCCTGAATTTGCTTATTATGCAAACTATTTTCTTAACTTTTAAAAACAATACAATCTATCTTCTATTGTGGATAAAAATTAATTTTAACCATTTGTTAATCAAAAAATGACATAAAAAATAATAGAAAAGAAAAAAAATTGGTCCTTATCTATAATTTTTCAGTCTTTTATTGTAAATTGAATCCTTATATTTCTTTCTTATCACATAAAAAAAAAAGGTGAAACATTGCTTTTCTATCCCCAATCACTTTTCTTTTTAGGTCTTTTAATCATCTAAGTTTTTATCACTGAAAATACCAAAATTAGTGATCTCTTGGTCATCAGAATCCAAAGAAAAAATATCCCATTACAACTAAAGATAAACTCCCCCCTAATTAATTAATTTCAAAAATTAAATTAACGTGTGTATGTGTGTGTGTGTGAATCGAGAAGTTATGTACGTGTTATAAGTTCCCAAGGGGTCACCATTAATTAAGATATATAGTTTTGCATCTCTTAGCTAAAACAACATAATTGACTTGTTAAAAGGGACGGTCCACAAAATAATTTAGTATTATTCGGCTATATAAAAATTATAATTACAATGTCATAAATATCAAGATTCATAACTCTATATTATACAAAATAAATGTGTAAATTATCTCATGAATTTTAAATTTAATAAAACTATAAATGTAAACTCATTTACTATAAAAATTATTCTCTTAACTTTTAAATTTATAATAACTTAGCCCTCATGTTAAGTAAAGAAATGTTGATGGATAGTTCTTAAAAGAGACAAGACCGTTTGATTGAATGCCACTTGCTTGAAACAATGGGCTCCACCACCAAAAAGTAATGACTATTACCATCTGTTTAACATTGGAAGCTAGGGTGCTATGAATTCAAAAGTTGAGGGATAATTTGCATGATAAATAAATTTATGATTAGAGTTTATATTATTATTGTACCTAAAGCTCAAACAATAATTTGTTCATTTACTCTATTATATATATCTTATGTGTACAGACAGTGACTAGAGTAAGAAAACGACAATTACTACAATTAAAAAAATTGTTCAAAAGCCAATGAAAAGAAAACCTAATTCCAAAGCATGACTTTGATAGTAATTGAGTATTGGCCTCATCACTTACGTACGTTTCTGTAATTGATTAATTGTATGGTTTATATCCTTTTGAAAGAGACATGTTTCACCAATATTCATCTGTGTTACTTTTTGAAGAGGCAGATAATTACTCCCTTCATCTCTACATATGAAAATTTTTCTAAAACTTTTTTTATTCCTAAATATAAGAAGTTATTAGTATATTTTTTAATGAATGGATCATTATACCCTTATTAAATTAGAAAGAAAAAAAGATAAGTACTCTCATTAATTTATTTTGAAAAAAGAGATTGATTTTTTATTTACAATAATTAGGGGTAAAATTAAAATGTTACTATGCTTTTAATTAGATAATCAAATTTTATTGATTTGTGTGATTTGATTAAAAATATCTTATTTATAAGGACGGAGGGAGTATATTATAATGGGTCAAAATTGATATCTATAGTTTATCAATTTTATGTTTTGTTTGGAATAAAAAATTACGTTATGAAACTCTTAAAAATGGTAAAATTTTAGAAAAAGTTATTATCATATATATATATAATTACTATGAAATTTTGGAAATTTTTTTAATAATTATCTTAATTACAAATAATTACTACCAAGTTTAATACGAGTTTCACTTAGGTTTTAAGAAAGTTACATTTTTAACTGATTTTCTTAAAAGTTATTAGTACCTATATAGCTTAAACATAATTATAGTCATTTTCTGGTCCATGAGAGTAGTTGTGCCTTTTGAATTTCTTCAATATAATCTTTTTTCCAGTTTGTGGGTCTTAAGATGTATCATGTAATCTCGGAATTAAAAATCTAAAAGAAAAAAAATTTAAAAAAAAAGAATTTGTTTTGGCCTAATGTATACTTTGAAATATCCATTTCATTTCAAAATCGGATAGACGACACCCATAAAAGCAAATAATTAAGCATACATAGAAGCTATGGTGTCCATATGGTATATGTCATTTATAATTAACAATTAATATGACATTTTCCATAGGCCCCTTCAAGTTCATATATAGGTTGGATGAGTGACACAAGACGTGCATGTATTATCGCTCTAGTAATATCCAATCATTTTTGCCAAATTAAGAAAGAGAAAAAAAAATCATTTAATATACAACAATTTTCTGTCACGGGATGCTTATATATATATATATATGGATAAAAAATTAAATTACATTGTAAGAGCTATTTTACTAATTAAACTTTATAAGTTCGAATTTGATTCCATAATTATATTCTTTTCGTTGAAATATATAAGATATTTTTAATCGAATCTTACCCCTCTATAAAATAGTTACTCATTTTTAAACTAATCTTATATTTTTATATTTATCCCTATTTAATAAGGTATTTTATCCTAAAATAAATATAAAATAATTTATTTAATATGAACACTTTTAAAAAAAATAATAATTACATCTTAAAAGATTAAAAATACCTTATATTTTTTAACATTCAACCCTTTAAAAAATGTCTTATATTTTTTTAATAAATTGAGTATGATACAACAAATATTTATATAAGAAAATTGTTTTTTTTTTGTTATGAGAATTGATACATCATACATGAATACATTATAGGTGGGTGGGTGGGTGTGTGTGTGTGTGTGTGGGTCATATATATCAACAATTAATGTTGGCAAAATGTAAAACTTTCACTGGTAAATAATTTATGAGTACCTATATAAATATATTAATTTTGAATCTTAATAATGTTTGTATTTTTTAACTTGGGAATTCCCGTGAAAAAATGGAAACATAGAGGCACATATATACATATTGTTTTAATTGAAAAATTGATTATTTTTTTAAATTAGGCCATTAATTTAAAGTCTGAAATCTGCATCTATTATAATAGCACATGGAGGAGTAGCTAGGGATCTTTTCGAGGGGACGAAGAGAAAATAATTTATTTGGAGCAAAGAATATACATTCAAACTCGAGTCAGACAGTATACGCTGTTTGCCTAAAATTTGGTACATCAAACAGGACCTTACAGAGTCCCTTAAACGTTATTTGATTCAAAAGTTTGAGTAATCATCACCAGTCACCACTGTTTCATTCTTCCATGACAGAAACAGTCCAATGTCTATATATGTATGACTTTGAATTTTTTCCCTCCACATGATTTCAAGCCCATTAAATTTTTTATAGTAAATATGGTTAAGGACAGTATGTTTCACTAAAATAACTTAAGTCATTTAATTAGATACTTCTTAAATTTATATATTTGTGATCTGCATTCTAATCTTTAAATTAAAAACCAAGGAGATTAATGTCTAATATTCAGCAACAGATGTTCAACATACGAGATTTAATATTATGTTCTCCTTGAGCTACTAACTACAGGGTCCGTATTAGTGTGTGGCGAGTTAAATGTAGTATTTAATTTGTGTCCTTAATTTTGAAATTCATGATTTATTATTGTACTTTAGAATTTTGGCCTGTTTGTATTCTTATGAATCTTCTTTTCTTTTTTTATAAAAAAAATTTAAGTGAATTGAAATTCAGGACTAAAGTTAAGATAGTGATGTTATTCAAAAAAAAAAAAAAACTCTTGTAAAAGTACTTACAAATTTCTCATTGTCAGGCAACAGAATTAAAAAAACTTCTTTGTGGAATATCACTTTCTTATAACCAACCTTCATTGGATTTATGCCTTGTGAAAAACTAAAAAAAAAAAATTAATACAAAATCACACAGCTAGCTAGTATGAAAAATGATATATGGGATTGGAGTGGGCTTCCTCCACTCCAATGAAGGGAACTCTACAAATCTGAACCATTAGAATGAATTTAATAATTTAGATTTGATAATTTTAAAAATATAGATTAATTAATCTTTATAGCCAAAAATTTAACTTAAACAGTGAAAGGAAAATGCAGTGGAGATAAGCTCATGAAATCGCATATGAAAGAGCGTTTATGTAAAAACCAGTATGGAAAACACACATATGGAATTAATTTCCTCTCACATAGAAAATCAATTTTTGTGGTCATATCTGGAGAAGGTCGAACTGCGAAAAGTGCTATACGGATCAAGTTGTAGCAAGAAGAAAGAAACCCATATATCGCCTATTATTAACAATAATCTCATGTACTTCTGAAAGTAAAACATTCTGGGTAGCGAGAAACGGCAAAATTAGGTTGAAAGTTTCGAAACGTTTCTCCGAGAAATGCGGCTACTTGCCGCCTCTTTAGTTCCTCATCACTTGTTTTCGAGAAATGACCATTCCGTAATGTAATGACATCTTTTCTTAAATCAAAGAGAGAGAGATGGAGAAAGATAAACTAATGAAAATAGTAACAATAATAATTAAAAATAATAATAATAAACAAAAACAATGGCACGAATTTGACCATTTTGATGGTATGTGATAAATCTCCCAGCTCAAATTAGACCATCATTATAGTATTCTACTCCCAAATTTCTCTTTATTTTATTATCTTCCTCTTTCTCTCCCATCATGTTGCGTATGGAAATGAAGTTGTTTTGAGTGAAAAGTCAGCGTCTCTCTCTTCTAAACCCATTCTCTCAAATCTTTCCTTCATTCTTCTTTTTCTTCTTCTTCTTCAGGCCATCATACACACACGAACACAATCGCTAGTCTCGAACTTCATCCTGTGACCTATCTCTATATAATTCTCTCTCTTTCTTGCTTTTGATTCCTAGATTAATTTTCATGCAAATCAAGCTGATTAAGACGTACATGACTGACACTAATAGCTATGACTCTCTTCTCTTTCTGATTGAAGCAATATCTCTCTACTGAGAAAAAGCATGTGCAGCAGCATCTTTGGCTCAATCATGGACAACAATTTTCATCAAGGCGATTTAACTGATATATTCCGTGCAAGTAGCGGCGGTGGCAGCGGTGCCGGAGGTGGTGGCCGTGGCGGTGGTTCTTATGGCACTTCTTCTTCAGCATCTGAATTAGCTCCTCATGATCTCTCTTCTACTTCATCAGAAAGCTGGCACCACCACCACCACCAGATGAATTTCTCTTCTGTGATAATGGAAGATTCTCTCAGAGCCACCAACTTTTTTGGCGACCCGTTCTCGAACATGCGAGATCCCTTTCTTCAAGACCTTGATTTCCCCTTACCTTCTTCCTACTTCAGTTCTGCAATTAATAATTCTGCCATGGAAGATGCATCGCCTGGTTTTTCTGATTCTTCTGTTGTTTTGTCGTCTCATCACAAGCTTGTAGAAGATGATATGAGAATAAGGCCCCCTGTAGCAGCAGCAGCTTGTAACAACAACACCATATTCTCCAACATGATTCAGATCTCTCCCAACAGTATGAACGCCAAATTACCACCACCGGTTTCACCCTGCGGTTCTCCTTCGGTGAATATCGCCGCCGCCGCCATAAATTCTTCATCTTCGTCATCCTTGCCGCTGTCGTCGCCACGGGGAATCGAGCCTTCTTCTTCTTCTTCTTCTTCTTTGGTTTCTGCTGGCAACTTGAATATCACGGTGGACAACGCATCAGTGCAGATCTCGTCTCCAAGGAATCCGGGTCTCAAGCGAAGGTGAGCATAACAATACTAATTATTCTTGTTTCATAACAATCTCTGTGCAATTAAATATGATGGATCGAGAAGCTAGCTTCATCTTCCCAAAGAACCAAATTTATTTCCGGTTCATTAATTTCATAAAAGGGAAGAACTTACAAATCACGACCGTTTTTTTGGAACTCGAATAATTTCTCATAAAATCATGGTGTGAGGTTCAGAGAAAGTAGGGTTTGGCACAGTTAGGTGGCTTATTATTACCATTACTTTTCACTGATTTGACTGAGAACAACAAGAATGATCAAGTTTCAGGTGAGAAAAAACACTTGATACATATTAATTTCAAGGGCCATAATTAAATAGATAATAATAATCATATATGTATGTATGCTTTTTTTTGATTAATTAAGCGAGCCAGAGGCTGGAAAGGTTAACATATCTGGACTGGGCTTTCGGCGAGTTTAATGACATGTGTGGAAGTTTTAGATGTAAATTTTGGCCTTCCTCACCTGAAAAGTCCTATTCATTTAAACTTGGTGTCATACATTCCATACTCTGCCTTTATTGTTAGCCGCAGTACTGTTTGTTCTGAACACCAAATCAACTACTTGAAAAGTACTTGAGTCTGCAGCTAGCAGCAGATAATTCAACATTATTGGATAAAGAAAGGAGGGGCTATAGATGTAGATATAGTGGCTATGTCTATAGATATGCCGTTTTGTTCGGAGATAATAATGATTATAGAAAGCAGTAATGAGATTGATGAGAGAATTATGTATGTGTGGGTGCTGTGACTTGTGAGCAGAAAAAGCCAGGCGAAGAAGGTGGTGTGTATACCTGCACCAGCAGCGGCAAATAGCAGACCAAGTAGTGGAGAGGTAGTTCCGTCTGATCTGTGGGCTTGGAGAAAGTACGGTCAGAAACCCATCAAAGGTTCTCCATACCCAAGGTACTATAATAATATAATATATAATAATAATTATAATGGTTAATCAACTTGATTTAACTTCATCTTCTATCTTCTCCATAGATATATCTTGTTGTTTGTTAATTATAACAGGGATTTGTGTTCTTGATATTTTGTTCTATTTATTAATTACTAATTTAGATTCGAGTATGATATGATTTTTTTTATTCAATCGGCTCAAAGTTGAGATCTTATTTAAGGAATGTCAAGTGACAATTACTTTGTTAAATATGATGAAAATTGCAGTTGAAATATCTCCAAATCTAGTTGTCAAATTCTCAGTTTCTAGTTTGGGTCTGCGTGAATATACGAAGAGTATATGTGATAGAATTACTCATAATTGGGCCCCATAATAATTAAATATAATCCAATTAGATAGCTATATAAAAAATGAGTCTTTTATAAAATTAAGATTGCATGTAACAACCAATAAGTTGAGGTTAAATCCAATGAAAGATGCTAGTTCCTCACAACGTAGTAATTTGAATGCTTAAATTTAATGTTTGATCATGTTTCGAACATTTATAATTGTATTTAATAAAAGAATACTTACTAGCAATAAAAAAAATATAAGTAAGGATCTAAACCTAATTTTTTTATTATTTTAAAAATTAAAGTTTCTAACATGTTATTACTAAATTGAAAAGAAAAAACTACAGTTGTAAATAATTTTGAAATTTAATAAAAGTTTTAGATAACTTAAGTTGAATCTGGTAATTAACAACCTTGACCTTCGAAAACATTATAATTTTTTAAAAAAAATATTTAACCTTATTTTTTTAAGACCTGTTCCTTAAATAACCTGCTATTAACTAATTCTTACGTCTCAAAAAAAAAAAAAAAAAAGAATGTTCCCCACTATAGTCTTAGCTTGTAGAGTTATCTCTGAAAATACGAGCCTGAGGTTCCTGTTAGAGTCGAAGCAAGAATCAAAACCAAAAAAGGATCGATCATGTTGTTGTTTCTGAAGTATTGGTATATCCAGGGGCTACTATAGATGCAGCAGCTCCAAGGGTTGTTCAGCGAGGAAACAAGTAGAGAGAAGCAGGACAGACCCAAACATGCTGGTCATCACTTACACTTCAGAGCACAACCATCCATGGCCGACTCAACGCAACGCTCTCGCCGGCTCAACCAGGTCTCAGCCTTCCAAGAACAACAACAACGCTTCCAAGAACAACAGCGTCAACAATTCTGATCAAGCTTCGACGAAGCCGAAGGAGGAAGAGGAGCAGCAGCAGCAGCAAGATCATCATCAGAGAGGGAAAAGCTCATCATCATCAGTGAAGGAGGAGATGGAGATGGAAGATATAGCAGTGATGAACCAGAATGATCAAGAGCTTGAGAAAATGATGATGATGGAAGATGATAATAATAGATCAGAAGGAGTGGGATACAAACCATGTATGTTGGAGAGTAATAATAATAATAATCAGTCTTGTGAGGATTTCTTTGCAGAACTGGGAGAGATTGAAGCTGACCCACTCAATCTCTTGTTCACTCAAGCAGGTTTCAATGAAGAGCATCAGAATCATGACCGTCAGAGAGAATCCAAAGCTTTAGATCCTTTTCATCTCTTTGACTGGTCATCATCATCATCAGCATCAGCAGATATTCACAGCACCACCACCACCTCATTTGAAGAACCAAAGAGAGGGTTATAACAAGACCTTGAAGAAACAAATTTATTATTCATTAAACTCACAATTATATGATCATACCTTAATTAATATCCTCCCTCTATAATATATTTTTTTACCTTTCTTTCTTTCGCTTTGGTCATGAAATATTGTCATCATTATTAATTCAAGGTCATGTTATAATCTTTTTCATCTGGTTTGCAGAGGGTAATGTAAAAGAAGGATTCTTCTTGTTTTTTTTTTCTTGGTAGCCATTATGTTATAGAAAGATCGAGTTTCTTCCTCATAATTTTAATTTGTTATTGTTAAATTTCTTTTAAAAATTTCTGATTGATATATATTATATATAATGATTCAATTGTAAGAGTTAAGGTTAAAATTTTAAAACATCATAATTTTTTGAAATTTAACAACATAAATTTTTAATATCAGAATTGTTAAATGTATAAAAATTTATCGTGCACGAACTTATCGTCAAGAATATGAATTATGAGGAAGCCTACCTCTCCATAGCCTCTATAGCGCCAGACCCTGATGAAACCATGTCGTACGCTGGAGTTATGTATGAGAGATTTCCAGCTTCTCTCTCTTCTTGTTACTTACCAGAACGACAGTCAGAAAGAAAAAAATAATTAAGACCCAGTATATATCTACGCACACACAACACGAGAGAGAGAGAGAGAGAGAGAGAGAGAGATTGATTGGTGGAAGCAAACTCCAAGAGTCCCACATTCGTTTTTGGAATATTGGTGGATGGGACAGAAAGCTGAGAGGAACAGGGGGTTTCTACAGTTGAAAGAGTACGTTGAGTAGTAGATATAGAGAGAGAGGCATTATGAACAAGACTCGAAAGGAAGAAAGCTGAGGGACTGACTAGATTGATGATAAAAAAGATGGGGCTCTCTCTGTCTCTCATCTTTTAAAGTGCCCAGAGAATTATTAATATTATTGGGATTGATTATTCTAAAACGGAAAAAAGAAGCTTTCTCTCAGATCATCAATTTCATGAAAGATGACAAAAGGATATATATATATATATATATATATGAGGTTAAAAAGATACACTATTTACTCTAATATATAAAGCTTGACTTTTCTTATCAGTCTCCTCTTCGTTTTTTTCTCTCTCTCTAGGGATATGTGAGAGGCGAGAGAGGGAGAGAGAGAAACAACGTATGCTTTTTTAATTTCTTTAGTTCCTCGATCGGCTTTTCTGTTTCTTTCACTATTATCCACCAACTTGAAGGTTTAATTATATTTCTGAATCTGATTATATATTTTTATATCACTTGTTAGAAAGAAATTGATTTATATTATTCAGTCTTATCTGTTAGTATCGGTTTTTTCCCTGCGGATAATAAAAAAAATCCAGCAAGGCGAGGTTGGCATTTAAACATTTTGCATGTGCATGCTACCCAATTTGTGCGTGTATGTGTCCTTTAATATACAGATTCCTTTGTCAGTTCAAATATAATTAATTAATTATTCACTTCATTTGAGTATTGAAAAATATGATAGGCCATAACACTTGTGTATGGGAATTAATTACTTTTACAATCTGCAACATTTTGTACGCATAATCACCTCACGTAATATATATAAATGTATGTATGTATGTATTATTAATCCTAAAAAATTATTTGGAACAGATACGAATCTAAAGAGCTTGGTTGTTCCTTTAACGCTTCTTTAATGGCTACAAACACACATTTTTTATTTTAGCCGTCCACCATTTGATATAATTAAATAACTAGCTAGTGATCAGAGTGATACTATATATTTTAATCATATAATATTGGGTTTTGTGATTAGAAAATTATATATGACTAACTTATATGTAGTATTTAATATTTAGTTCATTCATTCTGTACAGCGAGTCTCTCCCTGTAAATAATAAATTTCAGCAGATAATCTATTCAGGGAAAAATAGTTTACTGTAGGTCTCACATATTTCTTTGTATGTGCATCAGCGCATTAACTTCGCTTATCGTTTTTTTGTTGAGATAACCAACTTTTTTGCCCTTTCTTGCAATTCCATGTAAAAATTGAAAAATTTGAAATTTTGTTCAAGTTGAAAATAAATGTGTAAATGATAATTTTTTATATTAAAAAAAATCAAACATTGAGTCTCAATTAATTTTAGTGGACTCGAATCAACTGTATACAAAACTCAAAAAAAGATAGAGCCAACTAACCTAAATACTTAATTTATTTATTTATAAAACTTAAATTAGAAATCTTTCTTAATGGCCAATTAATAAGATGGATATCTTATAGTAATATGTACAAAGGGGAATAGTTTCATTTTTTTTACCATGTGATTGGAAACAAGCGAGTACTAATTCCTAAATGTTGTCAAATCCAAGAACATGAATGAAAAGAGTTCTCATGGTGATGGGCTTACCAATGAGGTCACTTCAATGGAGAAAAAGACAAATGTCTTTTTGAAGCTTTTTTGGCTCCAATGGGGTTTGCTTTGCCTCTGTCTGTATATTTTCATCAACTTGATTGACAGGGGTTAGTCGTAGCAGTCATTATGCATTTCAAAGAAAATTTTTGATTTTGTGGGAGTCACTGTTGTTCATGATTTTGAAGTTGCGCTTTATGCTCTCTTTTGAAATTTTTGCATGCTAATAATTCATTATTTATTGTGCCCTAATAACTAGATAATGCACAAATTTAGAAAAGAGGCATATCTAGTTCGCATAATCAGCTCTTATAAGATCGAACTTAGAAGTTTTTATTTTAAAATTGATTATTTTTTTCAAACTTGACCCTCATTATCAAGCTTCGGATCGATCCCGAAAACCACTTTTTATATTTTAGTTTTCTAAAATTAAGTTTTCTGTTATAAATTTATAGTATTACATGTTTATGCTCTAAAATATAAATTAAAACAATATAAAATTTAGAGTAAGTAATACACATCCTAATAATTTTAAGATATAAAATTAAGAACGCTCAGAAAAATTAGTTTGTGAAGGAGCAGAACCAGTAACCCGACATGCTTTAATGTTGAGATATCTTAACCCCTAATTAGAGATAAGAAAGAGAAAATAATCTCTAAATTATGAACTTCCAAAAAATTACTCTGTGGCCGGAAGAGACACTCAATAATTTGACATGCTTTTGAGATATCATAACCATACCACATTCTAATATCTCTTATAATCATAATAAAGTAGTGGTATTTCACTCAATCCATATAATTTAAATTATCTCCATTTAGATATTTAAAACAAGCGCTTAAAATGAATTTTTTACCCCGTCATTACTAAATAATTAGTCAAATAATTAATTTGGTCTCTCTCAAACCTTAGTGGGCTAGTTCTTTAATAAGGCCATCAAAGACAGACATTTCATTAAGCCCAATGGTTATAACAACTGACCTCTAGTCCTTCTTTCACCAAATCTTTCTTTTATAGTATTTACCTTTTCATAAATGATATTTTGTTTTTTTTTATTTTATATTTATCTCTATTTCATTTTATTTTCTAAAAAGCTAGGTAAATTGAGTTTTGAGAGTTCATAAAATTCAATATAGTTCTTAAGACTTAAAGATAGCATTTAGATTGATGAGTTTGAATTTAAATTTAAAATTTAAAATCTTATATTTAAAATTCATATATTTAAAATTTTTTGTTCAGACAGTGCACAAAATTTTAAAAATAAAAGAGAGGCAAGTTGAGATTTAAAACATAAATGAAAGATTGAAAATAACAATTTTACCTATATTTTTTAATTAAGAGGACGAGAGAAAGGAGGAGTGATAGGAATAACAAAAGTATCAATAATAAAAACATGAAAACAATGAGAGTGCTGAAGTAGTTATAATTTCAAATAACTAGGATCTTGAGAAAATTTAAAATTATAAAGAGATTATAATAAGGCATGTATTTGATCAAATCCAAATTCAAGTCTTCATACATTAAAAGGTATCCAAAAAACGTCTATAAAAGTACTTATAAATTTCTTACTAAAGATGTTTTCCGAATTCAAACGTATTCCCCTGTGAGACATAAGTTGCATCCTTATTAATAAAAGTATTAACGTTCGTTACATTTTAAATATTATTTTATATCATGAAACATGTTTTTATTTATTTTCATCACTTTCTCTTTAAATTTTATTCCTTTAAAAATGACCTTTCCCTCATATCAATGCAGCATCAGAGTTGCTATGATGTTTTGGATTTTACTATTTTTGGACGAAAAACATTCTTCCAATATAAAAAGTCCTTATAACTTAATTTAGAGTAAATAATTGTAACTTTCGATAATCATAACTTATGTCTATAATCTTTAAGATGAATTTTTAATTTATAGAAAATAATTTTCAATAACCACAACTTATGTCTACGATCTTTAAGATGAATTTTCATTTTCAAGGTCTGTAACTAATAATGTTTAGTTTTGGGTCCTTAAGTGTTATTTTTTCATAATTAACGTTATCAATTAGCACAAATTAATAATCTTTATTAAGACTCTTGATGCTCCTGTTTTTTTTTTTTTTGAAATGTTTGCATGATCATAATATTCATTCTTTGGCCCTTGATCATGGCTCTTGTGAGATGATTTGCGCATGTAAGATCGCATGTTTTGAATTTGGGTCACATATATTCTTAGTGAAAGGAAAAGGACGACTTCGTCAAATATTAATCATAATTGTGCGTAGATTTGCATCATTAGTGGAGGATAATACTTATTACTTAAGTTGAAATCTTTTCCTCATAGACATAATAGTTTAAAGCAAAAGGGCATCAGATCATACATATCAATCAATATCCATAAATTCAAACGAAATAAAATAATTGAGTAAGTACTGTTCCTTTATTATTCAATTTTTTCTCTTGATATGACATCATATGCATATTACCATATTGGTCATAATTTATTTATAAAGTATATATTATAATGTAAAATAAAAAATTTATAGTCTTGCATATCGTTGATAAACAATGACATAATGTGACCATTCGTGAACCATCTGCACTCTTTTTTTTTTTCCTTTAATCTATATTTCTCCTCACGTATTTGATGGGATTTTAGGAGATTTTTCATTCTAATCCTTTGACATTTTCCCACGCATTTGAACAATGCAAGGAAAATAATTAAATAAAATATTCTAA